GGGGGCTAATTGTCGTTCTGTCTGCAAGGGCTGTTATTGGATACTGCGGGACATTGAGACCGTAAACGGATCCGGGAAGGGTGAGGAGTCTTTCGGCATCAACGGGCACCAGTACTGCTAAAGCTCGGGTCCAAAGCTAAAACCAAAGTAAACTAAAGCCCAAAGTAACTGTAATTAGCAGTGTTACAACTTTCTTCATATTTTTTGCATAGTTCTGGGACAGGATGGGACTCTCCCCCTCCTCTCCCGCCCTTCCTTCCAGAAGTTCGTCCTGGATTCGCCTATGATTACAGTTTCATCGGTTTCAAGGAGCGCCGCGATTTCGGTTGGGTATAGATCGCGACTTCCACTGGAGTTCGGGGAATACGCTTGATCCGATGGGGCAGTTGATCTCAGGGAGCATCTCGATTCCCATTCCTTGTCAAGTAGCTCTGTCTGCTCCTGTTTCGAGTATCGAGGTCCCAGGGGATTTTACGAAGGTCTCACGCTGGTTCTTGAAACAGTCGCTGCGCGTCGGGGGGCCTAGCTGTGATGCGTGGATATTTCCCGGACAATCGCCTGTTCCTGGTTGGTGCCGTTGCAGTAGCTGGGGCTGGGCATTACTTTAGTTCCTCGTCCGCGCACCACTTCCTCTGGCAGGAATTGCGTCGTAATCATTGCGGGCACTACTTTCGCTTTCCATCACCGCGATGAGCTAGTGTAAAATCGCAGGGGAATTTCACGCCGTTACAGCAGGCTTCTTTAAAAAATGTGCTGCTTTGCAGGTAATGCATCAACTTGCCCAGTATTACAACAGTGACGAGGAGGAGTCGTCCTCCAGCGAGCGGTCGGTGGAGGACAGCTCGCGTCGCAGTGAGCTTGGCTCGCAGCCAAGTGAATTTGACTCGCGCCGCAGTAGGACTGAGCGCGACAGCAGAAGTGAGCGTCGCAGTGGAAGTGAACGTGGCTCAAGCCGCAGCGGAAGGAGTGGACGCGACTCGCGTCGCAGCAGCTCAAGCAGCGAAGGTCAAATTATTCAGCGGTAACAGTAGATGAAAAGTTTGCACGGTGGGAAGTAGAAAGTCTGCACTTCCTACCACTACTTTTACTGTAAATGCATTCACCACAGCGATCCCCTGCTGACGAGGTGCTGATAAGGAATGTATACGATTTAATGGACCTCCTTCTCAGTTATTTTTAGCTTAATATTAATCTTTCGCAGTTTTACTCTTTATATTGATATCAGAGAAAAGTATATTGTTAAATTTTACTTATACTGAAAGAAAAAATGAAAGGCAAACATATCTAAGATCTCCGAAGCACGATAAATCGCGATTTATAAAAATATTCATCCAAAGTGATTTCCGAATTTGATTTTTTCCACTTTTTTTTTGAATTTATTGTTTCGCATTTTTCTCGGACGAAGAGAAGGACTGCTTTTTCTCGGGTGTGTGGAGGGTTGGATACGTGAAAGGGTGTTTGAAAAAAAAAAATTTATAAAGACTAACTGCCCATTTGCTCAGTTTTTGTAGTACAACATGTGCAAAACTCAACCACACATTCATTTATTCAGTAGAAAAAAAAGGGAATCGGGAGAGCAGAAGGAGAAACAGTGGGGAGGGAGAGGGCGGGGAAAGGGGAGAGGTGAGAAGGCAAAGTAGGGTTTGACGAGCGGGAAAGCGTCCCGAAAGGTATGCTCACTGAAAAAGAGGAATATTGTGCTGGGAAGGGGGCAGCGCTTCCGGGCTTTGCAGAAAGAAAGTGACTGAAGTGGCCACGGTCGATGGCATTTAAAATGTGTGGCGCGGAAGGAGTGTTGAAGTGTCACTGTAAGGGTTAACATTGGGGTTGTTCGGGTCAGATAATTCGAGAAGAATATAGCTCAGTGATTGCAGAACGTTCAGTCAGAAAGAAGCACAAACGGCACAGGCGAAAGAGGGCAGAACGACGGGACTCAGAATTCTGGACGGGTAAGTTGCGTTGAATTTTACAGAACACTTTGTTGATCTCCCGGTTTGTGAGCGTACGCATAATGAAATAG